CTCTTAATTGTTGTATTTTATTCTTTCTGGACCATTATCTATTGCAGGACCACGATGAAGAAGATTATTAGTTAAAGATGAGAATGGAGGGGGCTATACATTTTGGATAACCTTATCTCCTTTTAAGGTTCTTCATTAGGTCATCTATCACTACCAATGCTAAAAAAATTATACCCTTAGTTTCAACAAGTTTCAACAATTATCATATTTAGATTGTAAATCGTGTCAATTTGAAGCACCATCTCCGTTTAAGGTTCTTCATTTGGTCATCTTTCACTACCAATGCTAAAAAATTATACCCTTAGTTTCAATAAGTTTAAAAAATTATCATATTTAGATTGTAAATCGTGTCAATTTGAAATACCATTGTTTGTCTTTTGTTCCCATAATTAATAAAATAGTTAGTCATAGTTTTTAGTTAGTTCATTCTGATGTATGAGGACCTTGTTATGCTTTATTAATGAATTTCGATATTTTTCTACTTTTTGGATGATTTTTCTCGTATGAATTTATTTTATGAAATCTCGTCCTGAGTTACTGTCACATTTTCAATTTTTTGTGCTGAAATTAAAACTAGATTTAATGTTTCTGTTAAGATTATGATAAATGATCATGCGAAAGTATTTCTCTGCACATTTTCAGACATACATGACACAAGCTTGGATGCTTATCCCAAAATTGAGTAGCTGAAACAAAAAATAATTTTTTCTTGAGGCAACTAGAGCTCTTTGTTTGAAAATAATATTCCCAAATAGTTCTGGGTTGATGCGATTTCTATTGCTTGTTTTTTTATCAATCAGATACCTTCTATTATTCTACAGAATCAAATACCCTACAAAGTTCTTTTTCCCATTGAATCATGTATATTTTGGTGTACTTGTTTTGTTCATGACACTCATACGCAGGTTTCTAAACTAGACCACCCTAACTCATTAAGGTGTATCTTTCTAGAATACTCTTGTTTGCAAAAAATGTATCAATGTTTTTCACATTTCTTAAAAAGGGTACATTATCGTTGCTGATGTCTCCTTTTATGAACAAAATCTTTCTTTGGTGACTCATCACTGCCTAAATCTTCGCCAGATTCTGATGAGTTGTTAATGTGATATATCATTAGTTCAACTCCACTTCCACCACCAATGTCTTAGCCTAGATTGCATGTCACCAATTTATACTCGAGAAGATGTTCCTCTCATCCTAGTCCGACGCTGGTATCCTATTCTTCAGTGGATTCTTCTCCTAATGACCTTGATTTAACTTTTGCTCTTTGAAGAGGTAAATGTCGACGCGCCCATCCTATTTCATCTTGTGTTAATTATGATCAGTTATCTTTTACTTCTTGCTTGTTGCTTCCCTTGAATTTATTGAGGTCTCGAAATTTGTTTGTCAATTTCCGTCGCATTCTGGATGGTAGGCAGTGATGCTTGATGAAATGAATGTCTTAACTGAAAATGAAAATTTTGAACTAATTAAATTACTTTATGGCAAGAAGGTTCTTGGTTGTAAATGGGTGTTTGCAGTTAAGTTTCATTCTAATTGATCTGTAGCTCGTCTCAAAGCTTGGTTGGTTGCTAAGGGATATGTTCAAATTTTTAGGATTAACTATTTGGATACTTTCTCTCCGATAGTTAAGTTGACTTTGGTTTGTATCTTCCTGTCCTTGACTATAATGAATAATTGGCCCATACATCAGTTTGATGTGAAAAATGTCTTTTTGCAGGGTGATCTTTTAGAAGAGGTATGCATCGTCTTCGGAAGTAACTGTATGGATTGAACCAAAGCTCTTAGGTATGGTTTGGAATGTTTAGTCAAGCGGTAAAAGAGTTTGAGAAGCATGAGTGTAGAAGTGATTGCACTGTATTCTACAAGAAATATGCTTTTGGGATAATTTGTTGGTGGTGCATGTTGATGAAATTATCTTTACTGGAAGTAATGTACGGGAAATCTTATCATTAAAATTATTTCTTCAAAATCAATTCAATATGAAAGATCTGGGTTCCTTGAAGTATTTGGGGATTGAGGTGTCAAGGAGAAAGATTGGTATCCCAATTGAATTGATTAGCAGAAATGGGGGCAATAGTGGTCAAACCATGCAGTACTCCGAACGTCCTAATTAACAATTTGCCTTCCATGAAACCATATTACTATCAACAAAAACACAATATGCAGTACTGTATCTTCGATCAATCTTGAAACTTGCTCAATTTGCATCATAGAAACATTCAATATTTCTATGTCCATGATTCTGATATAGAACCTCAGGAGCTCTTGGCATATGTTCCGGAGCTGACCAATGATGGACTGTGGGAGAAGACATGAACTGCCTTATAATGCTAACTGTATACGTAATATCAGGGCGAGGTGAGATAGTTTAATTTTCTCACTAAATTTCTTTCTCATTCAAGATCATTAAAAGACTCTCCATCAATGTAGTGTCATGATTCAGTTCATAAGCACTATGAAGTAGTTTAATTCCTATCCAAAATGGGTTTTCATATTATATTTCCTGCAAAGCTGTGGTGTGATAACCAAGCTGTGATTCATATTGCTTCAAACATAGTTTTTCATGAACAAACTAAGCACGTTGAGATAGGTTGTCATTTTGTTCGTGAAAAGATTCAACAAAATGTGATTTCTACAACCCATGTAAAAGCCGAGGAAGAACTATGGGACCTTTTCACAAAGACCCTTAATGAAAGTAGAGTCAGTTATATTTGTAACAGGTAGGCATGATAAATATCTATGCTTCAACTTGATAGAGAGTATTATGGAAAATATTAAATCTAATAATTATTTATTAGGAAGCGTGTATATAGGTAGCTTGATCTTATGTATTTAATTAGAGGAAATCTAATTGCAAGATCTTTTTTATATTAGAAAATTTCCTAATCAACAGTGATAGAAGTGTATATAAATATGTAACATATGCTTTCCATTGAAGAAATATAACAAAAGTTTTCTGTTGCTGTTTTGAATTTAAATTGAAATCATGATCCTTTAATTATTCACTTATTATTTAACTCTTTTCTCTTTCACTTATTTGAATAATATTATTTAAAGGTTTATATTACAATTTTTTTTTACCCCATAGTAGATGAAGAACATTGGTCATATAAGTAAGAAATTTCTTTAATTCCCCACTTGTAGATAAAAAAAGGTCGCCGTGCACTGCATTCAACCTTGCTTCAACATTGATCGATGGGCCATATTTTGGTTTATTAGTTGCTATAGAATTGCTTTATCATTTTATAGTTGTCGGCAAGTTGAGTAGCTCTAAATTTTTTATACTTTAGGTAACACGAGCAATTGTGATGCACCGACTCTTCGTTATAAAAAATGTATAGTTTTTGCAGTTGACACCTGTCAAATATAAACGTGTATGTGACACACGTCTGTCACGCATTAGACACGCGCGTCGTTTGTCTAATCTAAAAAAAATTCAGACATGTGTGCCTAACAACTTTGCTCTGAATAATTCAGTTTAAATTTTGTGAATTATAACAAAATGCATACTAAAATATTAAAATTTAATGATTTGTATTGTACCAAATATCTTTTGCTTATTGTTTTATGGAACACTCCAAAAATTACTAATAACTTGGTTTATTTTAAATTTTTATTAGATTTTGATAATTTATTATTTAGTTAATATTTTTTCATATTATTTTACTGTTTTTTTTTGTGCACTATCTTGTTTTATGAACGATACAATAATTATTTATTTATCTTTTTATTCTTAAATATTATTATTTTTAATGCTGATGATGTTAAAATTTTGACCTTATTAATTTGTGTGATTATATCCTATATTTTAAAACATAAGCAGGTATTATATTCTTGTCCTCGTATCGATGTATTCTAGATGCGCAGTCAGCTTTTAGACACCATTCTGCAAAAGAGGATTTGTTTTCCTTAACCGTGCAGAAACTCAAATTTGGCTCTTCCTATACTTATTGACTCGAATAAAATGATTGCCTTAGGGCGGGAGCATGGTTTTGTTATCACATTTTTTAATTCGCAAGCAGTTGTAGATTTAGTATGTCCCACCAAGCATGATGTATCTTCGGGATGAAGCTCGTGCCATTACGAGTTCAGCGAAGTTTTGATGCATGCAATTTTAAGCTTACATTCTAGAGAGCTTGATTTCATGGCTTGGGCCCTATGATGCATCAGTGATGGAACTGTATAAGAACACAATATGGTACGAATATTAGATACGATTTTTATTGAAAATAGACATTTTTAACATATTATTATGATATATTTTAAAATTTTAAAATACTTTATAAAAATGAGCAAATTAAATAAATATGAAATGCCTTGTTATAATGATAAATTTATTCAATTGCCCGTGAAATAAGTAATATATTTAAACTTATTTAATAACTTTATTCAATTGAAAGGGAATAATTCTATGACATTATAGATTATTAATTTGAAGTGGAGAATCTTTGTTCTTTTTTAAAGTTAATTAATTAAAAACAAATATCATAAAAAGCTATAGAAAAATTGATAGAGTAAAGATATAAACTTTGTGTTGAATGGCTGGCTATAAGCTATCAAGTAATATATTTTAAAATGAAAGACAAGAGTTGGCTTAACTTAAATTATCTTTGTAATGTGCTTTAATCACAAAATTTATGACTAGCCATGAGTACTGAGATCGGTAGCTGTTCTTGAAATTTATATCAGTATTTTGTTTGATGTTCTGTAGTTTCTTGATATAAACACATTCACTAAAGGCCTAATCATATTAATTTTTCTGCCAAGCCTGGATTGTATTTATACTTTTAAACATGCACTGACATTTATTTAAGGTACAACCTGAATCATCCAACATAACATTTAGCATCAAACTGAAAAGTTGGAAGATTGCACTAATATTTAGGCGACACTTTATTTCAAATGACATTAGAGCAAATAACTCTAATTTATCTGATTTAAATAATTAGAAGTTTTCAAACATAACTAGAAATTTTACAATATTTCTGATTTTGCAGCATTGATGTAGTTTCAGCGGCATTTGAGGGACAGTCTGCTGTCAATAGGCAGAGAATGGTGTACAATGCTATCTGGGAGGAACTTCAGAGCACAGTTCATGCGGTTGACCAAATGACTACAAGAACTCCTGCTGAAGCTGCAGACTATCAATAAAGCAGAATATGGAAGGAGTTGATATATCCGCTTCCTTGATTGTGGGAGAAATTATATTTTATAACTCTGCCCATTTGACATTTTTGACAATTTGGGTGCTTTACCTGCCTTTTCTATTGCCATTAATTATGTGCTCACTCTCTATTCATGATATCTAAGGGCTTAGTTGTAACTATATTGAATTAATTGCCGAAAATTGACTCCTGAGTTAGGTATTAATGGGTTTGCTTTTTTTTAGAGGAGTACAGTTTAGGAAGAAATGGATTTGATTACTTATATACATAATATTTTCAAAATCTACTTATGAAATTACTTGCATCCCTACCTTAGACCATATGTAAAGCCAACCTTTCTAATACTTATGTTTTCCATAAAACTTGTATCTAGTGACACCTCTTAGAATCCTCAGATCCTTAGGATGGGGTCGGACCCCGTTAAAACATACGTTAGCCTTCTGACTTGACACTGCACTCACTTAGATGCTGTGATATGACACTACACTAGATTGTGTGCTAAGCTAAGGACTAGGGTGCTAGGTAGTCTTTTTCAATATCATGGCTATAGTTCTTTGCTGGTTTGGTTGTCCCAACCATACATCACTTTTGTGCCGCTTTGCATATATATTGGGTGTAAGACGTGCACACTAGTATATTAGAGGTGTTTTCCTTGTAGGGAGTCGGGTCTAAAACACACACATGAACATTTAATAGGGAGGAGCATGTAATGATTTGAATGATTAAAGTCTTTTTTGCAGGTGTCGCTAAGCTCATTCCACCAGGCATGACTCATATGCGTTCCATGTAAATTGCTTTTCTGCTAACCTTGTTTTCATGCTGGTCAATTTTTTTTTACTTTATCCATGTACTTTTTAGAGACTTTAGGAGAGCCTTGTATTAGAAATAAAGTAGCGGCATGAGTTTCTAGGCGCCAGACGACCGAGACCACGTGACGGGGATCATGTGCTATTTGCTTGTGTCGCGTACCTTATTTCTAAGTTTCATTTATGTATATAATTAGGATCTGGTGTGTATTTATGCGGTGTTTGACCACCTTTTTCTTTTTTGGGATATGTTGTCGACCTAGTGACACCGACCTTTCATATTCTTTTGACTTGTCTTGTTTATTTTTCAGCTTCTTGGATGTGATTGCTAGTTTTGCCCTTTTTGGCTTGTGATTTTGTCTGGAATATTGCGAATCACTTGGGCTCTCTAAGAACCTAACATTCTAAACTTTCTATAAAAGTTTAGTAATAAAATTTGAGATTAATTAAAATTTAGGTTTAAAATAATCAGAATTTTCAAAATCTGCACTTTATTTTCTGTGCGCCTTTGGGCTGGATTTTAAACAGATTGCATGCATGACTATCACCCAAGTCATAACTAATATAGTCTCTACACTTAGGATTTGAATAAATAATTACATAATTTTGCATTTCTTGAGGAGACGCTCCTGTGCTTCTATAACCGGACGAACCCAACATAGATTTCTACTTTGGTTGTTTAATGCGTTTAGGGTGTTCTTTATTGAAAGTGATGTCCATATTTAAAATGCAAACAAGATGTGGATTTAAATTTAAGAGTTTCAAACCTAATTTAACTATGGGTTTGTTTGGCGCAGCTGTGGGCTTGCTGTTTGGGGCAGTTTATTCAGATTAAGTTATTGATGGTTAGATGATATTCCCGCCCCTGTCTGATAAAGTTGTTTGGGACAGCTTATTCAGAATTGCTTATTGGTAAAACTGTTTGGTGTGAATTCATCTGGTATCCTTGTAAAACCGCTTTCACTAGGGTTGAAAGCAAATTTTCCCGTTGCGATAACCCATTTAAACATTACGTCCAGTTTTTCTTCAAATTCCGGCTCAATTCCACACTGTTTATACTTTTTCTCTGCAGGTACCGCTTGTGACATAACATTTAGGGGGAATAGTTAGACAATTATAATTAGAGAAAATAATTTGGGAATCTAACAATTCATGGATTAGATATAAAATTACCTCAAACTTTTCAGCCCACCATTCAGCTGAAGCATCAATTGTTCTTTTAATCAGATCCCAACCCAAATCGGTAGATTCACGTTTCAACTCCTTCCATATTTTTCATTCATTCTTTAATTGATCTCATTTATTTTTAAATTTAAGTCTGTCGTAATCCCTGTCAGTCAATTCTTTGAATCTCTTAACAATATTTAGCCACTCTTCCTTATTAAAAAAAGTTGTTGGCCTGTTCCCAAGTTCTATTTCTTTTATACAAATATCGCAAAAAATATTTGTTACTTTTTTATCCCACATTGCTGACAGACCCCCTTCAACCGCTTTAGACATGATGAAACTATAGACAACAAATGAGAATAATTTTTTTTTTAATTTTGAATCTCAATAGCAACACTAGCCAACAACAACATCAACCCAACTATAACAACAGTTTCCAAACAACAACATTAGCCACCAATACAAACAACAACATAGCTATTTGATGAAAAACTAAATATAAATATATGAAGACACAAATGATTTATGTGGTTCGGTCAATGACCTACGTCTACATAAGACAATCCACGAAAGTTTTATTAAGGAATTCTTTAAGATTACATAGGTAACCATTCGAGCGGGCTACAAAAAAAAAAGTAATGCATTTTCTTTTACTTGCAATTTACATTCAAGAAATATCCATGTTGCCTCAGAATCGATTGATAAGAATGACTGCATTCCACTTCAACATAAGAATCACTGCATTCTTTAAAGTGACATGCATAAATGCTTTATTGTTTGAATCCCAAATACAGATGAAAATCCATAGTCAAATATCACATATTAGGGACTGCCTTTGAATCCCACAAACATGTGTAAAAGCTTTAAAATGACATGCGTGAATACTGTTTGAATCTCAAATATCAAATTACTGTTTGAATCCCACATTACTGTAAATACTGTTTGAATTCAAATAACCAAATATATGAAATGTGTAAGCTGTTGACATTTATGCCACACAAATATTTTGAACTCTAGTGAGAACCATTCCAAGACTTTCATTTTATATGGAAGTTATGCAACAAATGAAATCAATACTCAGAGCTAATTCCTCCAAGCAAACAATGCATGCCAAATATCTCATGAACTACAACTAAAAACCAAATAAAATGCCTAATATCTCATGCCACAAAACAGATGCCCGAAATTTTAAGGCCACATTTCAATTATCTGAGATGCCTGAAAGTATCTCAGATAAAATGCCACATATCTACACTTCTAAAGATAAACACAAATCCAACAACCAGGTTTCCAGGATCACAGCTTGCAACACAAATCCAACAGCCAGGTAAAATGTCAAACTATCTCAAATGCCCTAAAAACGAAAAACCAGAGAAAATGCTAAAACCTAGTAGATGCCATAAACAACTAATGCCATAGATCTAAAATTTCAGCGCTTGTATGGATCAGAAAGGAAACCAATGATCGTTTCTTGCATAGATCAGAGCAAAGAAAGCATTCCAGTGATCGCAATTAGGGAAATCGAATGGATACTTGATGATCAACAAAGAAAATAGGAAAGGAAGAAGGTTCAATCTCCTCTAAGGCGACGAACCAGAAAGGAAACCAACGAGGGAGACGACAAGTGATACTGATGGCACCTCCGGAATTCCTAGGGTAACACAGATCTCTAACGCCGGACGCGGGGCTCACACAGCGTCGAATCTCCTATTTGTTTTATCGGACGCGGACGCACTGCGATGGGAAAACGCCGAACTGAACGCCTTTATGAAACAGAAAAGCGGCGTTCTCATAACACCGCTGCTCCCAATAAGCGCCCCCAAACGGGTCCTATAATTCACAAATGAGAAACTAAACCCTAAAATGCATTATAATTCATATTCAAATCATGTCTCAATCTTTAAAAAAAAAGCCATGTTTCAACCTTTTTTTTCAACTGATTTCAAATTATATTTGAACATTGCTCAAATTTTGTTTTTCTGAATTTTCTCGAATCACACTCACAGTCATTTAAACCCTTATGCTTTCGGTTATCATATCATCATTTACGGAATTGATTAATTTTAGTTATTAATATTATTATTTTTTTATGTTTGCAAACGGCCACTCAAATCATATTGCTGAAGTTACATGCAGTGATTGATAAAGTTTTTAGGCAGTTTGATGCTTTTCGTCTCCATGAAATGGTAGGGAAAACTTCAGCTTTAATGAAAAAGAGCGGAGAAATTTAAAATTGAGGAAAATTTTGAGCAATGTCAAATTTGGGCACTTAATATTATGGTAGGGTTGGGAAAGTTAAAAGAATTATGTTTGTTTTATCAATATTAAGGTCTGTTTGGCGTAACTGCAGCTTCTCAACTTTTCAGTTTCAGCTGCGCTGCCCCAGGAAGCAGCTGTGGGGAAGCAGCTACGGGGAAGTTGGCTGTCTGTTTGGTGCAGCTGGGTGAAAAATGTTGTGGGCTAGCTGTTTCATGTAAAAATGATCAAATTATCCCTGTTTGTTAAAACTGTTTTTAATTTTTGATTTATTTGTATAAATATGAGTGCAATATACATAAAATTTATAAAAATATTATTTCTTAATTAATTAAATGAAATAAATTATTTTTAATATTCATTTTTATAGATAATTTTTAAGAAATATTTTATAATTTTGAACACATAAGGTTTAAAATTTATCTTTATCTATATATCAATGTATACAAATATTAATTCATCTATACATATAAAAATTTACAAACATATTTTAGAAGCATAAAATGTAAAATATATAAAAGCACCTCAAGCATATATTTTAAAAGCATGAACAACAACCACTACACATGAATCAACCACTACAACCACCACCTTATTCCATTCTTGAGCCAGCTTCCACCAAACAAGAATGACTCAAACGGGAAGGGAAAACAAAGGCAAAACCCGAGTGAAACAATCGGTAAAAAACTAAACAGGTTTCATGCGCTAATATACAGATCCACCGCATCTTTAGAAGGAATAAACAAAAAATTGCAGAAATAGGAAAGAGATGAGAAGAGAAAACATCACATTCGAAAAAACCCATAAACTTCCTCATATCTGCAATTAGAAGAAGAAAATTGCTCATTATACCTCATATTTGTCGATCGAGGGGCTACGAAGCAAGACGACGAAGGAGAGCCGCGAGGGGAGCAGTTAGGGAGAAACGAAAGGAGTAAGCGGGGAATATCTTCAGGCGAAAGCCGGGCCGCAGGGTTAATATCACGGCCCGCTTTCGCTAAGCGTTGGGAAATTTTGCCGCGAAGCTACGAACCAAACGGCCGAACTGCGAGACGAAACGGATGTCGCAAACAGCGCTGCACGAAAAAGTTGAACCAAACGGACTCTAAGCGGTTAAACCACTAGCTTGAGACTAGGGATAAATTCAATCTTCTTTTATTGTGGCTATTTTGATAGTAATTATTTGTATCAAAGTTAATATTTGTATTTTAATGTATAAGAAATTTATATCTATTATGTTATAATTTCATAGCTAAAGTGTTGACAAAAAATAGTAATTTCTAGTTTGATGTTAAAATTTTGGAGTATTATTAATTAAAAAAAAAAGAAAATATAGGTTTTAAAGATATAAATATTTAAAATTTGTGATGCCACTATTTTTTAGTTATGATGCGAAAGGCGAACCCTAGAAAATTCTGGACTTCATCCCGACCGCTTCTCTCCTCATTTGAAAGAAACATAGCCCTGCATTTTGCATAATCTGCTTTGCTCCCTCGTCATGGCTATAATCTCCGACTTCGAGGAAGATGAAAAGCAGACGCCAGCTTCTTCGTCGACTTGGATCCCTGATGCGGACGAGGAGGCCCTTCTCCAGATCCTTAAGAGGAAGGGACCCATCCCCTTCTTCGAGACTGTTGTCGATCTTCTTCGACGTCGGTCTGATGTCTTCATGTACGAATCATCCGTGAGCAAACTCACGGAGGTGCTCTCTGTTGCCAGACAAAAAGAGGTTGTCGAGCAGACGGCCAAGAAAAACAAGGCGGGCAAGGAGCCATTGCCTGATAACTTAGCAGGCATAGTCAAGGGTGAGGTCGAAGAAAAGTTCATCGAGAAGATGGACGTAGACGAGGTGAAGGAGACCACGCCAAAGAAGCAAGGGCCAGTTAACGGAGGAGACGACAAGGAAGCCGGGACTGTTAACAGTATGTTATCTGTTATTTTGCCTTTTTTTCTTTCTTTTTTCTCTCTAGCCAACTTCATGAACACCCCTAATCGCCATTTAAATTGAGTTGAATAGTGCTTGAGTTGTTTATTTATTTTTCTTACATCTTAGTGAACTGTGTCTATTTGTAGTTCTTATTCTGTGCGGACACCGCACACAACTATGTGTGCGGTGTCCAATGGAAAGATGACACCTGGATCAGTGAACCCCACAATTTAAAAAATTAAATTGAGGCATGCTTACGGCGCGACCCGGCCCGAATCTGTCCCTAAACAAGTAAAAGTTAACAGCGCACCTGAAAGAAAGTTTATTTCATCGGAAAACCAAACGATGCCCGAGCTAGGTGAGCACGGAGCAACTTCATTCGATCTTTTAGGGTTTTTGAATCAGATAAACTCAGGGTTTTAGAGTTGCTGCTGGAAACCGAAGAGAGCCCAGTGAGAATGGAGACGGAAGAGCCCTTGATAATGGAAACCGAAGAGGAATCGACAATGCAGACCGAGATAAGAGAAAGAGCGAAAAAAAAGGAAATCCAAGAGGGTTCATTCAGGTAATTTTTATTTTGGTGTTTTTGAGTTGTACACATGTGCACACAATATTATCTTAAAAAATCAACATTAAACCGCAATAAAACTTGCTATTTAATTATAATACAAAACCAATCACTATTTAACAATACCTTAAATCTTATCTGAGTATTACAAAAATAATGTTATAATAATAACAGAATACAACGAAGAAATTACCAGAATATAACCTTAATTCTACACCAGAATATAATCTTAATAATATTAATACCTGAATACAACGGAAAAACTTCTATAATATAACCTAAGTACTAAACCTGAGTAACACTAGAATATAACCTTGGCCTAAATAATATTACCTGAGTATTACAGAGATAATACTATAATAATAACAGAATACAACGAAAAAACTACCAGAATATAACCTTATTAGTACACCGGAATATAACTTTGATAATATTACCTGAATACAACGGAAAAACTTCTATAATATAACCTAAGTACCAAAAATACAACAACAATACAACCATAATATAACCGAAATACTACAATGTTAGAATACAACGTAAGTATTACTATAATATAACCTAAATAATACTATACGAGATCACATAATATTGCTTAAATATTACCATAGTATTCCGTAATAAAACATTTCTACATAACCCCTTATATTTTTTGCACTATTCTGTTTGATGTAGGTTTGTGAACTCAAGGTCCATTAGTTTTAGATGTCGACCATCTGTAGTTAGAAATGCACTTGATAAGGTCAGGCCTGCTATATCTGACGAGATGAGGAATGAGCTGAAAACCTTGAATGTTGATCAGTTCTTTGCACTTTTATCTTATCCCCAAAACAATGTGGTCACACTTCAAATATTGCAATGTTGGATACATGAAAAAATAGTTTTCAGACTGGGAGGGAAAGATCTGAGGATTAATCCTGATGAAGTTGTCATTTTGATTGACATGCCAAATAGAGGAGAAGTTCTAAAGTGGAAGAACGTTCTATCCTGTGGCGTTGATGCCCGTCAAATGAAGGCTGATCTGTTGAACTTCGGAACTGGGGAGTCTTCTGCCCCTTTTAATCAATTGTATATAAACTATTTGTAATTAAATTTATTTTTTCCGTCTAGTAATTTCAGTGTATCAAAAGAACTTTACTTCTTTGGAGAGAATGTAGATACGTTTGCTTCATTTTATGTTGCATTTGAAAGATATTTTTATAGATCGTCGGACAATGATAGAGTTATTGTGCAATGACATGATTGCAAATGACCATGTCGATGCTCAAGCGATGATTTTGAACAATAAGAGGAATGCAAATCTATCTCTTTTTAGGCCTTATCTTTATGTATCACCACTATACTGGATAAGACCGCATCTAAATATCTGAACACTCATATTTAATTATATTAAGAATTTCAACAACAATATGAATGTGCTAACACTTTATTTTATTATGCGGGCTTATCATAAAATGGGTAACCCCACATCATTTCTGGGTCATATCATCAAAGAAGCAGTTCAGAAAACTGATATCATTATGATTCCTGTTCTAAATAACCAACACTGGGTTTTATTGGTCGCTGATCTGGGTGAGGGGAACTGGAAAATGTATGACTCATTACCCAACCAGATGCACAAAACCGTGTGCAACGACGTTCTAATTTACTCTCAATTATTAAAAATATTATTTCTGCAATTTTCACCAGTTTATTACATTCACTGATCACTATTTTACTGTGTAGATCACTCGTTTTGGCATTGATGTCGAAGCTTCTTTCAGGGCTAAACCCGGGAAATGGAAAATTACACTGGTTAGAGGTGTTCCCGTATAAACCAACAGTGTTGATTGTGGAATGTTTGTCTGTAAATTTATGCAAAAATTAGTACAAA